GTTAAATCCAAAGCTAGGGAAAACAATTTCAGTAAAAAGAAAAAAAAAATAACAAAAGAACAGTAGTCAGTTTGAATGAAGGGATATGCAGAATATTTTACTAAGAGTTATTTTGTAAATAACAACTCTGGAACTTGTAACATGACTCATGGACTTTCAATATGTTTTGATGATATTTTTCAAATCACAATATATAGGCAATTAATGATAATATATACTGTACTTTTAATCTATAGATATTTCTGGTTTAATTTTTATTGAGAGATTCGGTAGATTCTAAAGTAGGATTTTGACAGGAAAATATATATGTATATGTGTGTGTGTGTGTACATATAGATATATAGATATAAAATGACCTCTGAAGTTGCTACTGGGATTTTCTAAATGCACTAAGAGGCACTTGTCAATGTATTTTAACCCATCATTTATAATGTTATAGGAGCTCTGACAAAACATGCTGTATACATAGAATGATAAATCCTGCATTGTTCAAAATTAAAATGTGGTCCAGCTGTGATAGCACATGCTGTTTGATACTGTACTTGGGAAACTGTGACAGGGGTATTGTGACATAGCAAAATCCTGTCTTTAAAAAAAAGTAAAATGTAAACAAAAATTTTTAAGGAAACTACAAAAGATATTATCAACATTTGTAGAACATTACACTTTTAGGGGAAATATATATGTAATGACAAGTAATGCTTTTTTTTTTTCCTTTTTCTCATTAGATCCACCTGATACTCCTCAGAATCTGAATTGTGAGACACATGATTTAAAAGAGATTATATGTACTTGGAGTGCAGGAAGACCGACAGCATTAGTGGGCCCACGCAAAACAAGTTACACTTTGTTCGAAAGGTAATAACTGGGGAGAGTATCAAACAAGGATTTCATTGGAAGTGCATATTAAATGAATGACATAGAGAAAAGGAAATGCTCCGTATCATTCATATGATGAGCAAGACATAAAACCAAGTATGCTGTATAAAATTGTGTAGGCTATAATTACAAATTATAATTATTAACCACATGACAACTCTATTTAATCTCTCTTCTTCTAAGAAGCCTAGAGGAAAGAACCATATAACACAGACAGGAACTGTTTGCAGGTAGTGGGCTAATGACCAGTTATTTTCTTTTATATTCTATATCATACATATTTTCTTTTCTGTGTATGTTGTATGTCTATAATTATAAATACAAACTTGGGACAGCAGGTGGTATGGTGGTTAAGGCACTGGATTCTACAGGACCAGTTTCACAGTTCAGGTCCCAGACATGATGATTTGAAAAAATCACATGGGGTGTGTGTGTATGCACCCAAAATCCTGAGTGGAGAATGGAGTTAATTGTGGCATGGCCATGCCCCAGGGGAGTGTTTCTCATTTTCTTCTCTCTCACTCACTCTCTCTCTTTCTCTTCTCTATCTCCTGCAAGTGCACACACCCAATAGTAAAAAACTAAAATGATAAATAAATAAATAAATAAATAAATAAATAAATAAATAAATAAATAAAATTTTTAGAATGATTATCAGAAATGTATCTGTTTCTTCCCTTCAATATTTATCTCTTGCCATCTTAAAGTTATTTTTACTTAATTAACAGTTTTTCGGAAAAACATGTTAGATTTAAAAGAGTTGACGTGTCCACAAAAGAAAGCTATCAGTTACTCTTTCAAATGCTTCCAAATCAAGAAATATATAATTTTACGTTGAATGCTCGGAATCCTTTGGGCCGATCAGAAGCAGCAATTTTGGTTAACGTAACTGAAAAAGGTAAGCCACTACATAAAATAGTGTCTTATAAATAACTTTAGAAATAGTAAACGATCTTCAGATTACTAAACAGTGCTACTAGGGATTGCTTTTTTACTAATTATTTTCTTTATAGTTAATATTAATTTTATACATTTTGTTTTAAAGTTTTAAAGTAATTTGATATTTTACCATTTTATTATGTTTGGATAGAAATTTGAATTAGTCATTTATGTAGAAATTATAAATAGCTTTAACGATTTTTGATTTCTGAAATTAGTTATTGCTCATGTAAAAGACAAACTTTTATTTTGGAATAGTTGATAGTTAGAAAAGTAACAAATTAGAGCCTTGTTAAACCCTCCCCCTGACTTCCTGGGGGAACCCAGTGGTAAAATTTGCATAATTTTAGTATATCAAAAGCAGGAAATTGGGAACCAGCAGATGGAGTAATGGTTATGTCATTGGACTCCCACATAGTTGACTGTGGTTTGAGTCCCATTCCTGGCAGCTTAAAACATAACGCCAGGTGTGTGTGTATGTGCTCAAAATCCTAAGAGGAGAATGGAGAAGAATAACTCCCCTCTGGGGAGTTATTTCTTGCTTTCTCTCTATTTCTGTCTCTGTCCAGTGCATGTATCCTATAGCAAAAAATTTCTTAAAAAAAAAAAAAACTGAGAAATTAACACTGGTGTAATACAGTGAATTAGACTACTGACCTGGCTTAGTTTTCATATGTATTCATTTGTATTTGTGTGTGTGCGTGTGTTTCTGTGCAATTTTTTCTGCGTAACTGCCCTCACAAGCAAGTACAGGACTATTCTGTCACCATAGATTGCCCTCATTTACAAGTTGTCCCTTCAGAGTACCCCCTGTACACACACACACACTCACTCACTCACTCTGTCCCTTGGCAAGAGCTAGCCTGTTTCATCATCTGTATTGTTTTGTCATTTTGAGAATGTTATATAAAGGAAGTCCTACTGTATGTACATTTTGAAGTTGGTGTTTTTTACTGAAGATAGTGTCCTTGAGAGTCATCCCAGTCGTTGTATGCAATAGTCTGTTCCTTTTTATAGCTGATGATTTCTGACTTTTTACCAACTTTATTAATATACAGCTCAAAATAGAGATAAAATGAGGTTGATGTTTTTCTGGCATTTATTGCCATAGTCAGTCCATCTGTATTAATTCCATGCCAGGCTCTGCATCACACAGAGCTGTGGCAGAACCTCCTGTTAGAGACTCCTGGCTAGGGGAGGAAGGGCTAAGCCAGATGCAGTACCACAGCCTGACAAGATCCTGGAAACAATCCTGTCACCTTCTTTGTAAATATAGGTCGCGTTTATCAGTTATTCCTTCTCATCATCTTTGTTATTTCCTGACTTTTTTTCTAGGGTCAAATGCAGCTACATTTTATACTTGAGTGGTAGTGTCTGTATGTGTGTGTCTGCCCTCTACCATTTCAGTCTTATTCCCTGCATGGTTCTTCCTGTCACTCAAATGGGCACAGGCACTATCACCAGCATAACATGGAGCTTGCTGAGCTCTATCCCTGTTCTTGCTAAGACCCCGACCTGACATGCGTTTTTACATTTGTGTTGTGGATTTCAGTCTGATGCTTCCTTCATAGCTCACCTCAAGCTCTATCCCCACTGTTGGGCTTCTGCCACCATGCTTACATTTAGTCTCATTGCAGTCATTAGAATATCATTTATAGCCTAGCATGTGAACCCTTGTTAATTTTCTTTCTTTTTCTTTTCTTCTCTTTTCTTTTCCTCTGTCCTTCTGAATAAATGAGAAGTTCTTTAAAGGTAGAAATTGTGATCGTTTTTCGATACTCTTGACCTCAGTTAAAGAATCTTAGCATGATTGGTTCTTAAAAACCGATGGCAGCTTGTCATCAGTAAAAGTGAGGTTCATGGATTCCACAAATACTGGATAGAATATTTTTCATCAGCACTAATGATACCCCCCTTGTCGTCTGTTGTCTTTCGTTCTTGTTTTTCACATTAGAATCTAGCTTTTCACCTTCAAATATTTGAAATAATCTTTTAAAATTTTATTTACAGTTTATCCCCATACGCCCACTGCATTCAAAGTGAAGGATATTAATTCAACAGCTGTTACACTTTCTTGGCATTTACCAGGCAACTTTGCAAAGATTAATCTTTTATGTCAAGTTGAAATTAATAAAACTAATTCAGCACAAGAATGGGTGAGTAGGAGTCTTCTATAAATGTACTTTGCAGTTATTTTGGATAAGATGGTACTCAAAAATAATTAAGTAAATTGTTTTATGTACATGCAAATGATTTATTATAGAGGTTTACTGAGACCCAAGGAAGACATAAGTCAGTGAAATAACATTATGTTTAGTATTCAAAAAGAATTGTGTTACTGGCTATTAAAGAATGTCAGTTTGACTTTACCGGAATGTGTATAGTTCCACAGTGCCTGGCGCATAGGTGGTGCTCAGTAAATCTGTGAATGAATAAATAGTTTTTGCTGTAACCTTTGGTATCTGTTAATGGATTAATTGGCACTGGAGAACAGAAGTGATCTTTAGAACTGCCAAGCATAGCAAAGGGAGCAGGTTATAACTGGCAATTAGAAGGCAAAATGTGACTCTTTAATACATTTTAAATATTTAGGTTGACTTTTATACTACACCTTTTTGTAATTTGTGGTAAGTCCACAGTAAATGATGTACTTAAATATTCATTTGGGACTGAACTGATTTCTAGAAAAGCAGTCAAAACTGCAAAATGCAACCTGAAAAGCTGCTTTTTCCTAAGTAATTGAGACTCAGAGGCTTCTGTGAGACATGCAAATCCTCAATCTTTATTTACAATTGCTTCATTTTTATTTAGTTAGTTTAAATAATTATTTGTGGAATATTTACTACATGTTTAACATCATCTTAGCAGTGCTCTCTCTTTCTCTCTCTCTCTCTCTCTCTTTCTTCTTTTTAATCACCAGAAGGCACATGAGCTTGCCAGAAAGAGTCAGAGAGGGAGAAAGCATGTCCCTTCTTCATTTCTCCATCCTCTGGGGGTTTTGGATAGTGCATGCACATGTATCTAATACATTTTCAAACTGCCAGTGCTGGGATTCAAACTGCGGTCAGCCATGTGGTCTCTGACTCCCTTAACCGCTAGCCTATGTAGCTATCCCCATCTTAGAGGTTCTAAGGAACATTTTAACAGTGACACACAAGAGATGATACCTCCCTCCAAGAAACTCCCAGACATCATGTGAATAATATATTTCATTTTCAAGGTTATTTCAGATTAGTAAATTATATTAAGGTTTATTCATCTCCAGTAAGCATTTACTGATTATCAAAATTATATCATCCTCTGCACAATCCAGTTGGCCGTTGTTACTTAGATTTTTATTACTTTTAATCTAACACTTGGATTAAAAATGCCACCTCACCTTTTTATTGCTGCAGTAGTTTGTCCTTATTCTTGGTTCTACATCTCATGGTTTCAGTTAGCAGCAGTCTGAAGAAGAGGTACATACAGTAAAGTAAGGAATTTTGAGAAAGAGAGACACATAGCTTTTATTATACTATACTATCATAATTGTTAGATTTTTAGTTATCGTGCATTTCTTACTGTGCCTAATTTATGGATTAAACTTTATCACAGGTATGTATGTCCAGGAAGAAACATAGTTTATATAGAATTTAATATGCTTCATGATTTCAGGCATCCACTGGGAATCTTAGAACATCTCCCCTGAAAATACAGAGCATAATTTATCTTCTTTGGCATTTGTATAAGAATTACAATATTACATGCGGATGAAAGGCATTTGTTGTTATATACACAAACCCATATGAGCATTCAGTTGATTTATGTTACATATATAAAGGCTTTCTTACCAAGACAATGTATATATGTTTGTGTATGGCTTATACATATACTTATTCACATACACATGGCTTATACATACACTTACTAATTTTTTAATAGCGGAATGTTACAATCAAGGGAGTAGAAAATTCAAATTATCTTCTTGTTGTGGACAAATTAAACCCATATACCATATATACTTTTCGGATTCGTTGTTCTACTGAAACTTTCTGGAAGTGGAGCAAATGGAGCAATAAGAAACAACACTTAACCACAGAAGCTGGTAAGTTAACTAAGTGATTTATAGATAATTAATGTTTTCTTGAAGTTTTATAATTTTATTTTAAAGAAAGTCTCATCAAGGTCCTCATCAAGGGAAATGCTTTGATAAGTTGTATAATATCTGCTAATAAAATATCACACAGATATGGTGGTTTTAAAAATTTTGTGATAATACAGAAAAGTATTGGCATGAGTAATTTGGAAAGACAGGACTTCTCACACTACAATGTAATTGCAGTTATATTATAATGATATATTAGGAAACCAAACTTGAAACTGTTATAAGATTAAGGGATGATTTTTCTCTTATTTATTCTGTCTTCCCCTGGAGTTTTAATAATGCCATTTATTCAGATTACCTTTAGTGAAAATCATTAATAAAGAGAATTTGCTTTAATTCCTATTGGTAGTAAAGGCTTGAGAAATGATCTGGCTAAAAGGTCTTGAACTATTGTTTCTGTGGTATATCTGGTCAAAACAGATATAAAATCAGGTAATTAGTTTTCTGAATAAGAAAAATTCCAAAGCAATTATATTTTATCCTTAAATAATCGTATGTTAGATTTGTAAAAAAAAAAATTTAAAAAAATCCCAAAATAAAGAAAAATTTAGAAATAGGTGTAATTTTCTGGAATTATTCCATAAAGGATAGCAAAAACTTTATTTGTACTGCATAATACAGGAATTCTAAAATGTTTTCCAAAAAGATTTACTGTTACACAAAAAAATGGAGGCTGTTAAATCAGATTTTGCTTCTCCACATAAAGAATAGAGATGAAGCTTTGCAATATTTGTAAAAATTATTTGTATTGTCAAAAATGAAACCTGTGCATGAGTCCAGAAAAGGGGTGTATTGTTAGATAACAATGTTACAGATTACCCTAAACCTTGGTGACTTAAAACAGCAGACACAGGGACCAGCAGGTGGTGTAGTGGTGAAGGCACTCGACTCCCACATGGCTGACTATTGTCTGTATCCTAGATCTGATGGCGTGAGCATCACTCTAGGCACATGTGTGTGCATGCCCAAAATCCTTAGAAGGGAATGGACGAGAAGGGATTGTGGTGTGACCACCCTCCTGGGAAGTTATTTGTCGTTTTCCCTCTCTCTTTTTCTGTCTCTCTTTGGCAAGTGCACGTGACCTGTGGCAAAAACCTTAAAAAAATTTTTTTTTTAAAGCAGACATTTATTATTTCATGCTTCCCTTGGGTTCAAAGTTCAGAAGCAGTTCAGCTAAATGGCTCTGCTTTGGGTTCAGAGGCTGCCGGCAGGTTGTGGGTGGGAGCTGCAGGCTTCATTGGGGCTACCGGATCCACTCTAAAGACTCACTCATGTGGCTGTTGGCCGGAGGCCTCAGTTTATCCCCACTTAAGTCTCTCCATACAGTTACTTCGGTGTCCACATTGGCATGACAGTACATCCCTGAGCTTGTGGCCAAAGAAAGCAAAGCAGAAGCCACAGTATATTTTACAATCTAAAATGAGAAGTGACATACCATCCTGTCTGCCCTGTGGTCACACATGCCAACTCTCATACCGTGTGGGAAAGGCCCACACAAAGGCATGAATATCAGGAGATGTGGAGATCACTGGCTCATTTTGGAAACTGGCTGCCATAGGAGCTTTGGCCTTCAGTTAATGAGCTCTCCTCGCCAAGAGAAGGCATCTTGTTTACACTTCATTAAGATAAAGCATTCATTCGCAAATATTTCCTCAGTATGTATTATTTCTCATACATTTTTCTAGTCACGAGGGATATAGCAGTGAATACAACAGAGACTTCTGCCTATGGAATTTGTAGGATACAGGATGAAAATAAATGTGTGTGTGTGTGTGTATGTGTCTGTCTCTCTGTGTATGTCTGATGGTGATGAATGCCACAGAGAAAAAGAAAGCATAGAAAAGGGACCGAGGAATGTAGGCTGAGTGGTGAGGGGGTGTAAGGAAGTACAGTTTTAAATAAGGTAGCTGGAAAGACCTGTCTAATAAGGTAATACTGGAGCTCAGACATAAAGGAGGTGAGGAAGCAAGTCACGGGCTTTATTATAGCTAAGGGAAGAGCG